ATTTATTTCATATCTGCATGCATGCTACTTTTTTTGCTGCATCAAAAGCTTTTAAGCAGGGTGTGGCTCAAAATTCACGCCTTCAAACTCCCAAATATCCTGAATTATACGGAAACCACGTGGGGAATTTTAAATATGGAGGCAACCAGTTCAGTAAAAGAAAGAGAACACCTGTACAGACTGATAGTTAGGTAAAGAACAATCCTTTAAATATATCTTATGTGTCACCAGTCAGTTACGTTATGATGGCTACGAATCTGCTGCTTCTAATTTAGCTCGTAACTTCAGTGCCTACCCTCCCTGCGCCCCATCATCCCGTCTCTCTCATCTTGTAAGACTAGGAAACCAAATGGAGGGAGAAGGTAAGGAAGACAAGAACAAACTATATATTTCATGTACTAGTAATTGCTATTTTTACTGTTGGAATGAAATTGCAAGTATTAAAATTAAATATTGTAGAATTATTATACCAAAAGTTACGATAATTCCTGTTTTATTTTTAACCCTTTGTTAAAAGCCAGTAAGCCGGATCACAGTGACGTATTGTCACACATTAGTGGGCGGGGCATCATGGACTTGGAATTTGAGAGTGACGGTAATAATTAATTATTAATAATGAATAATAATTGAATCTCGTTACAGAGAAGATTATGTCTCCTCCAGCCCATAGACACGAGTTAGGATACGTAACGTCACATAAAGGACCTGTCCTCTGTTCTAATTTTAGCCACGACGGTAATGACATCATTATTACATCATAATTAATGCATTTTTATTCATTTAATCTATTTATGATATTTAACACTGCAACATCATTCATGTCTTTATTGTTACTTAAAATAGCTTCATTACTTGCTAATAATAGAATAATCATTATGTCATCATTACAGGTAGACTGGTAGCAACAGGCTCTGCCGATATGTCCATTAGGATACTAGACGTTGATCGAATGGCCACTAAAAGTACCGTCGGCCAGCAAGACCCCCACCCTGTCATTAGAACCCTCTACGATCACTCAGACGCTATTCTCTCTCTCTCGTTTCATCCGACCGTATCAGTACTTGCCTCAGGGAGTCGAGATAATTTTATAAAGTTTTTCGATTATTCGAAACCCTCGGTCAAGAGAGCTTATAGGTCTGTGATTGAAGTGGCTAGCGTAAGGTGCTTAACTTTTCATCCGTCAGGGGATTATATATTAGTGGGGACTGAGCAAAGCACATGTGAGAGAAATAAATACAA